GCTACATTTTTATCTCAATAAATCGTATGGAATAAACCCTAAGCAAACCTTAAATTACAGCGACATCACCTGGATTAAACCCTAAAGAAAACCGATTTCAGGTTAAATCCCCTTGAAGCCATCCACATTGTGTACAGTATGCTAGTGAGACAGAAATAGAGTCGTCGATGGCGACAATCACCCTCACGAAGGAGACAGGTTATTAGTGTCGATCCCCTTAGGTCTATTTGTGGTGAACTCAATATCTCCGATCTCTCCTCTTCTTAGTTCGATTTGTGGTTTAGAAATTTACAATGCCTTAATCATTATTATTGTTAAGAACAAAGCTTAATGTTGTGGTATTGGAGATTTGGTTCAAATGAGAGAAGGATAGATAAATGGGGCGAGACAAGAGATAATAACATCGGTGGTAATGAAGATGTTGTCTCCGGAAAGGGAGATAGGAGGTTGCTTCTGGCAGATATGGAGTTGGTTTCTAAAGGCTTCTACAACCAACCAAAACCACCGATGGGGTGGTGGGTTTTGTGTGTAGCTTTAAGTTATGGGGGTTGATTTGGGATATACAATGGTGGATTAGAGAGAGTTTATGAGGTAACGACGATGTGAGCAGTCTGGCAAAGTTGAGAGAGATTGAGAATTTGTGTGTATGTGTTGTGTGTATATGTTGGTGTTGTTGTTTCAGAGAAGAGATAAGAGTTTATTGTTGCATATCGGAGGAAGATGAGCTCAATGAGGTGATGTCCGTTGGAGGAAGATGAAGTATGTAAAGTGTTGGTGGCGTTCAGTGTTCCGATTTGAATCTTTTGCTTCTCAGGACCTGTTGGTTCTCGGTCTTCTTCTCCGGTGACGTTTAGAGCGTTGGTGGTTGGAGGTGAATAGAGCGGAGATGGTAGGAACCTCGAAGGTGAAAAGAGTGGTGGTAGTCCGGTAAATTGTGATTTATAGGGAATGTAGAACGAAATGGGGAAAAGGGAAAGAGCATGGGTAGGGTATTTTATTTTATTTACTTTTTATTTTAATTCAAATTTAATTATAATTTAATTAAAAATAAAATAGTGAGGGCAAAATAGTATTTTTATGTCTGCAAAAGGATACAACGTGCAAATGTAAACTAATGAGGGATGAATCATGAAAGTTTTAAATATACGAGGGACGGTCCGAGTTAATTTTTAAAAATATGGACTGAATGTGCTTTTTAGCACCTGCGCGAGGGACGAATCATGTAATTTACCCTTTTATATTTATGAGTTTTTGGCTTTTCCACCCTTTTACTTTTTAAAATATCACTTTGAACTTTGAAAAATGTTAATTTCACCCTTCTACTTTCTAAATTTCCATGTTTAACATCGTATTATACATAATTTGATTTTCATTAATAACTCATGTTCGTTAAGCTAAAAAACTATTTCTACGTGTTTATTTTTAAATATTTGTCAATATAATTCAAGATGGTCAACGTTTCGACTTTGATTTAAAACTTTATTTCGTTATTTGTTTTAAAAAAATGCATAGTTTTTTTTATAAATTTGTCGGTTTAAATTCGAGTTTGCCTACATTTCGGCGTAGTTTTTTTTTTATTATTATTTTTACGTTTTTGTGTTTAAATTTATGTATGTTTCCTACGTATGAGATGAATCATATATAATAACTTTTATTTGTTAATTTTAAAAAATGTATGATATTCGAGTTTGTTTATGTTTCGACGTAATTTGTTTTTTTTTATACTTGTTTGCTTAACTTTATGTTTATTCATACGTATCATTTGGGTCATATATAATAGATTTTGTTCATTAACTTAAAATATATTATATTCAAGTTTGTCTACATTCCGATGTAACTTTTTTTACGGTTTTTTTACATATTAGTATAATTCGACTTCATCTACATTTCAACATAATTTTTTTTATGTTTTCGTGCTTATTTATATGTACGTGTTTTTTTCATTCGTGTTTTTGTACGTCGAAACGTACCTTTTTACAATACAATCGTCGTAATTCAACTTACAAAATTCAATGCCGATAGTTACATTTTCACCTATTATATGTGAAAAAACCCATACATAAAAACATATATAAAATAAGCACCAAAACGTACAAAATTTTTTACATCGAAACATAAAAAAAAAAAAAAAAACTCAAATTTATATCGACACATGCATCAAAATAAGTAAGATTTTTTTAAGTTAAAAAAATACGTTCCGCGAAACGTAGACAAGTTCGAATATAATATATTTTTTAAGTTAACGAACGAAAGTTATTATATGTGATTCGGATGATACGCAAAAATGTACATAAAGTTAAGCGCAAAAATGTATAAAATAAATAAATTATGTCGAAACGTAGACAAACTCGAATATAATATGTTTTTCAAAATTAACAATCAAAAATTATTGTATGTGATCCGTCTTATATGTAGGAAACGTATATAAAGTTAAACAAAAAAGCGTTTATTAAATAAAAAATAAATAAATAAATAAAAACTATGTCTGAACATAGACAAACTCAAATTTAAACCGACAAGTTATAAAAAAAAAAACCATGTGTTTTGAAAATAATAATAACAATAATAACGAAATAAAGTTCTAAATCAAAGTCGAAAATCGATCACCTTGAATTATATCGACAAATATATAAAAATAAACACGTAAAAATAGTTTTTTTTAAGTGAAGGAACAGAAGTCATATATATATATATATATATATATATATATATATATATATATATATATATATATATATATATATATATATATATATATATATATATATATATATATATGGTTAGGTTCATTTGAGACTACCTATATTTTGTGAGACCGTGAGACGCATTTTTTTATTTTTATTTTATTTTTTTTAGTTAATTCATGTTCCGAAAATAATATTTAAAAAAAGAATTTTTTGATTTTTCCATTTATTTTGCATTTTAAAATTATTTTTAGAAAATGTACAGTGTAATATTCTATTTAGAATATTTCACGTATTTTTCAAAAAAAATAAGTTCCGAAAATAATATTTAAAAAAAGAATTTTTAGATTTTTCCATTTATTTTGCATTTTAAAATTATTTTTTAGAATATGTCAGTGTAATATTCTATTTAGAATATTTCACGTATTTTTAAAAAAAAAACGGAATTTTTTTTATTATTTTTTTATTTTTTTTAGTTAATTCAAGTTCCGAAAATAATATTTAAAAAAAAAAATTTTGGATTTTTCCATTTATTTTGCATTTTAAAATTATGTTTAGATTTGGTCTCACGGTCTCACAAAATTAGAATGGTCTCAAATGAATGTAAACCTATATATATATATATATATATATATATATATATATATATATATATATATATATATATATATATATATATAAAATATGAGGTTAAATACGAAAATTTTGTAAATAGAGGAGTGAAAATAATATTTTTCAAAGTTCAAAGTGAAGATGTAAAGTGATATTTTAAAAATTAAATGGTGAAAAACCACAAACTTATAAATATAAAATATAGAAAAAAAGTACATGAATGGTCCTTAGTTTACCCATAATCATAAACTCAGTATTTCGTACTTGAAAAGACCAAAATACCTTCACACTAACGGATGAACAGTAACGGCGTCAGCAAAAGGGTTATTCACGTATGTTTTGGAAATTATAGGGACCATGTTCAGTAAAAAAATTAGCATGGACTGAGTTTGTGATATTTGATAAACCACAGTAACCATTTTTAAAGTTTTGTGTAAAAAAATAAAGGAAATTATTCATAAATGATCACTATGTTTTCCCAAAATATCAAATTTAGTCCATAACTTTTTTGTGTTCAAATATGGTCCTCCTTGCATAATTTTTTCATAGCTAGTCCTTATGGCTATTGCATAATTTTTTCATAGCTAGTCCTTATGGCTAATGCTGCTCATTTGTTAAGTTAGAATACATGGAATGCATGTGAGAGAAAAATTGTTTTTTACAAACCAATGGACGAAGTTTTAAAAAAATAAAGAAAAAATTTTCATAGATAGTCCATGTGGTTTTCTAAAATATCAAGTTTAATTTTTAAGTTTTTTTTCTCATTTAACATTCGTGAGGTTTTAATTTTTATAATGGTCTTTAACCTATATAAAAAGACTTTTATACTCTTTTTACTTTTTCTTACCTTTACTTTTATTAAAACTTTTTGAAAAAAAAATAAAAAAAAGAAATCACCCATTGACCCTTTGTTCCATTACTGTCCCATTAGGCTGGACGGAGTGGGAGCGGGAAAGAGGTGAGGGAAGCTTCCCTCACTCTTGAACACCACTCCTTGGGTGAGGGAAGTAACCCGCGGGAAAAAGGTGGGGGAAGGGGTGCCGCACTCTCTCTCTCTTCATGGTATTGGATAATTTTTTTATCCTTTTTAATATTTATAAAATTATATACCTACTAAAAATTCATAATTTTTAATTCCCTACAAAATGAATATAATATATGTATAAAATATATTTAAAAAAAAATAAGGGAAATTTTGCTCGCACACCTTCCGGTCTTAGTAACACAAGTCAAGACCAACTTTTCAATCCTCCTCTCCTCTCTCTCTCTCTTAATGAACAACTACCAGAGATTGTATCAAGGTGAATGACTAATTGTAACTTTAATACAATATAATGACTAAAGTAAAAAACACCCAGAGAAATTCGATAACTAATTATAACATTTGATCACAACATCACTTGCACCGTCTATAACCGGTTATTCTAGGAAATCACATTAACCATTTATGAAGATTTTTTATTTATTTATCGAAAACTTCATTAATACGGTCATTTGGTTTGTAAAACATGACTTTGCCCTCACGTCTCTGATTTAACGGACCGAAATAGCCGGTTTTAGCCATAAGGACTCTTTATAAAAAGTTTTTAAACCACATAGACAATCATTGAAGACAAAAAAAAAGTTAAAAACTAAACTTAATACTCTAAAAAAACCACATGACCATTTATGAAAATTTGTCAAAAATAAATAAACAAATTTAATGATCAATGATAGCTTAAATAAAATAACAAAAAAAAATATATAGTTATTTTGTAATAGGACTCCACCCATTTTGGGGATTTTAGTGATTAGCCCCGAGAAAAGCTCAAGCAAAAGTGCATAACCAGAACACAGCAACTATTACCATATTCCAGTGTTCTAATCGGCAATAAAACTACAAATACAACAGTCACAATTTTGCTCGTCTCACCTGCCTAATGCCTTCTTTTACATTTTACCAAATACAATACTCAGGATTCATAAAACATTCAAGGTCAAAAATAAAAAAAGGATACCCATATGTGAATAAAAAACGAGTAGTTCTGACTTTTGAGAACAATAAAACTCATTTGTCCTGCAATTGCTAAATCTTCTCTCCTTAAAATCACATTAAATTTCCCTTTTAAAGTATCCGGAGACATTCTTGTGAGAATATCTTCCAAATCAATCATACACACAAACCACAGGTTCATTCTCCTGTAACATGTTAGTAATATTTAATTAGTAAAACTAAATGAAACATGATTCAGACCCAAAATTAAGATGCTATAATAAACAAATCAATGGAAGTACATCGCTATTTCTTGTTGATAAGGGATTCCTCTCGTGACAATCTGCACACTGGAGTTGGCAGAAGACTTGACACATCAGATGAATATGTGTCACTTGGGCAGAAAACCACAGTGTGTGGGTCAACAGAAATATGCTTTTGAATAGATTTGACGCTCTCAAGGTAAGCTCCTTCAGTAGAAGATCCCAATCCATCAATAATCTGTTGTATAATTGCAAAGATTAAAATTAAACCATTGAGTAGTTTAATGTTATAAAAAATAAACAGGTTGAATAATGAATTGGAATATAGCATACCAGAGAACAAACTCCAGAAATATCTATGGCTTCCATGGAAACAAGCTCCACAAGCCTATCTGGTGTGCAAACAAGAAACTCCGGCTCACATGTTTTTAATCTGTAACATGAACAGAGTTTCAGAAATATATTCAATCGGAAAAATTAACAGTTTCAAGTTTTATAAAGTTAATGTAATTTACCCGTGAATTTGATGATCTATGGAAGCACCAGGATGTAGACTTACTGTATGTATTCCAAATGCCTTTAATGGCTTGCATACAGAACGTACCTGTATTGCTTTCTGTTGTGAAGGTACAAGGAATAAAAGGTAAGGAGTGGTGAAAGATACGCCTTCTTTTTCCTTATTTGTAATGGTGTCAACAGCAGTTGATGCTATCCAAGCAACTTGTTCCATTGTACAACTTCCATTTGTCTCCAATACATGTTTGCCACTTGAATAACATCTCCAAAAATCAAAGCCCCATGAGTCAAAGAACAGAGGCTTTCCTGGTTCGAATGCTTCATTGTGATGCATCATATCTTGTATTGTTTTCAAACATGAGATTAAGAATTTTGAAGGGCAACCTTCATCTTTTGAAATACGGGAGGTACTAAGTTTCTTGGTGCTTTTTTTATCTGAATCTTTCTCCACCCTTGCCCTTTTATGTTCCTGGTTGTTTCCATTTGATTGATCATCTTCTTTAGCCTTTCTCTTATTTCCTTTTTCTGACAGATTATCAACTCCCTTTGATGGCTCCAGTTTCTTGATCTTCTTTGTCTTGTCCTTTTTCTTGGAATCGAGATTTGTAGGTTTGTCTAAGAAAGGATCCTCAGGAGTAGGGAGGCTAAAACACATTCCCTGCATCATTGCAACAAAAAGGAGGTAAAAGTGAGGAAATGATCTTCCAGTTAGATCAAACTGTTTTAATGTTCAGGTAACCAACGTGTCATATAAGATCACAAATCAGAGCTCATGAAAACATAGAAGCAACTAAGGTTTTAGATGAAGTACACGGTTGCTAGTCATACGTGCTTACATAGCACGCAATAGAGCTACGACTATAAGCTAAAAAGTAACTATTTCAGATAATTCGGTTTGTTCTTTAAGTAGAAGCATACCGCACAAATTAGTGTTATATACTGTTTTCAGCAGGAAATTGATTTGAACTACATAGATGTTCATGTGCTTATGTAGGTCTAGCATACTCCAACAAACAGAGATAAGCAATATAATCTTATAGATTTCCTGACACGGTTTAATTAAATACTCAAAATTATCCACAATAATTTGATCAAGCGTTAGAAATCTTATGCAAAAAGAACGAATTATACCTGACACATTCTGCGTTTGCCGGACTGACGACGCTTTTTTTGTGCGATGATGGCGGCGATGCGATTAGAAACCTTGGATGACTCGCTCCGCAATTTCTTCCTGATCGATTTGTTCTTCTTCTTTATCTTATAATCTTCTCCTGTTGGCATTGTTCAGAGCTAAAAACAAAAATCAATGGAGAAACTGGTTCGGAAAAACGAAGAGCTCGGAGAAGGCGGTTGTAAGCAGTTCTGCTGTGCGAGCTTGTGATGGTGCATTGTACTTGGTGGTAGTGGGTAGGTTTGCCATAAGACACGAATCCTATGGGCTGTTTTGATTATTCGTAGGCTTAGAAGGTTGGAATTTATAGTTGGGCCCTTTTATGGGCTTTAATATATCGGTTGACTTGCAAAGTTAATTGAGATGTCTACTTATTCTATTAAGAGGTAAACGTGACACGCATATATTACATGAGTGTATTTAAAATAATTAAATACGTATAAACGTTTGAGAAATTTGAATATATAAGAAAAATATTGAATTATTAAAATTAAAATGTTTTTTCTTTTTTAAATTTAAACAAATCATTTAGATAAAATAATCAAATCAAATTAATGAGATTTTTTTTTAATTTTTGAAATTATAAGGAAAGTAAATCAATGAAATTGATATGTATTTATTAAATTTAAATATCATATGGAATTTAATAAAATAGGAAAACAACAAAATTACATATAGAATAAAAATTAATTCAAAATAACCATAAAATGACATATGGCAAAAAAAACTTTTATTTATTAGAGAAGATTACTTATTAGCTATGCTATCAATAGTGCATCAATAGCACACTATAACGTTTTGCATTGTTACTGAACTGTTATTTTGATATAGCATTTACGAATAGCAGTAGCGCTATTAGCGACGGTATTTACCGCGAATCCCATCAGCGTTATAGCGACATTACACCCGCTTTTACAATTTCATACATAATTGGTTACTTTGACAAAGAAAAAAAATATTGTGTGTTATTTCAATATTAAATTATACATAATATTATAAAACGTTATATCACCGCGATAACAGCGATTTCAAATAGCGGCCTGTGATTGCTATTGAAATCTCGATCGCAATAACTACTTAGGTCATTCAGGTCATTAGAATGAAAGTAAATATAAGAAAACAAACAAGTTTAATTGAGTGCCTACAAAAGGTCTACGTACTACGAATTGAACATCTATTGCCAAACATATTTCCAAAAAAAGTCATTTATTATTTGGAGGAGTCAGGTACAATGGTACGTTGTACCAAGAAATAAGGTGTATTGTTATCATTATTATTATTTTTCATTAAGGCTATTTTTAAGTATTAGATAAAAAAACTAGTTGTTAGTTAAAAAGTTAGATGACAGCTGAAAAGTTAGTTAGATATTTGTAAAGCTAGCTGATCAAATTTAACGTCTGGTAAAACTGACTGACAAGCTAGCTAAAAGATATTTAAAATAACAACATTTCAATGAATGTTTTCTATAACTAATTAAGGGATATATTAGAAAATTAAAATAAATAAATAAATAAATAAATAAACTCTAGAAAAAATAGTCTGAGTAGTTTTTTTTTTAAAACTAACTTATAAGCTATCTTTTTGTTTACCAAACATGTCAACTTAAAAAAACTCGAAAAATAAGTTATATTATCAGCTAATTATGATGTGCCAAAAACAACATAAGTAGTTTTTTCCTATCGGTGAACGGATTACCCAAGTTCTCTATGTTTATAGTCTTATATAATTAGGTTATGTTTAATAAACTAGTTGGAAAACTATTTTTAGCACCTTTTGCATAAGTCTATTTGAAATCGACCTTACTAAAAAAATTTAAAATTTTATTTGTATTAGTTTGCGAAAATGGTCCTAAAGTTTAATTCAAATATTTTTCTGAGTTGAAATCCCCCAAAGATAAATTTCCAACAAAGATAAATTTCCAAACATTTAGTCTTTCATAAAAGCATTTCATGTGAGAGTTTCACAAAAGATATCAAAACAAATGTTTAAAAGATCATTACAAACCAAAGTTCCTCTAAATGTCCAAAGCTTATCAATCTTCTAAGCTTCTGATAATATCCACGAACCTACAAAAACTTATCAATGTAGTGGGTTATGATATAAGGATCCTAGTGAGTACAATCTCAAGGTTATTGTAACGTCTCGTTCCTGGTACGCATTTTATTTATTTAAGTATTTATTTTGTAAGAGCCACTTGACGAGTTGGTAGCTCTACCTCGTTGAGTAGATGCCAGATTAGACGCGGGTTTTAAGTAGTCTACTCGATGAGTCGAAAGCCTTGACTCGACGAGTAGGTCCATCAGGAGGAAACCCTAATCTTTAGGGTTTGCACCCTATTTAAGCATCATATCAGGTCTCCACCCCAACCTCCATCACCTCCACAACCCAATCTCGAAACCCTAATCCACCTTGTGTGTTATTGAGTTATTTCTTGCCATTTTGAGTGTTATTTGTGCCTTTTGAAGCTTGTGCAAGAAGAAGAAGAAATAAGCCTCAAGGGGGAAGGGGTAGATCTAGGAACTACACTCCATTAGCTACATTTTTTGGTAATCACATCTCTAACTTGATCCTTCTCCTCTTAGATCTATTTGTTTCCATTTTATGAAGGTTTTGGTCCAAGAACCTTGATCCTTGGGATTGGGATGCCCCAAGTGACTTATATCTCAGATATGGGGTCTAGGAAGGGTTCCATGGCATAAAGGTGCAAACTTTATGACCATGGAATCCCCATGCAAGCTTGTATGCAAGAACATGGCCTATTTAGCCCTAAAAGAGCATGCATGGAAGGAAAGCTCGAAACTTTACGAGTCCAACATGTGATATCAGCCTAGATCTAGTATATTGTGCCTTGGTTTAGAGAGTTATGGCTTATGGGTCAAGATTTATGTCTTAAAGAAGTTAGGGTTTGGGTTAAACCCATTAAGAAGCACTAAGGATGGGTAAAGTTAGAAACTTTACCCTTAAGAGTGTATTCCTAGTATGTAGAATAAGTTTGGAGCATAGATCTGAAAGGTAGGAGCTTAATCCTTTAGGATGGCTCATTCAGACAGGGGAACTCGGCGAGTCTAGGGAAGGACTCGACGAGTTGAAGCGGGCCGACCCGATTGTTATGACAAGAAGAACTCGACGAGTTGACTCAGTCAACAACGAGTTTAAGCGTTACAGGGACTCGACGAGTTAGGAGATAACTCGACGAGTTGGGTTGACTGGGAGTTGACCTTGACTTTGACTTTAACCAGGATATTGACTGTAATGTCGCATATTCAGGCTAGTCAATTTAAAGATAATAAGCATAAAAAATGAGTTACTGATGGAATATTATTAAGGAGTAATCTTAACCAAGTGTTAGTATATGTTACACTGGTTCCGTACATATAAAGAACGCCGAAATCCGAATTATAACGAAGAAGTTATGGCCCGTCGAAGTTTTACGGGAAAAACGGCAAGACACCGGGGAGACGTAAATAGTTAATTTAGGATAGAGGACTTTTTGGCCTTAGTGGTCTAAACAAAAGTTGTAGTATACCTTAAACTGAGAGCTTGCATAAAAAGAACGCCCAAATCTGACTTCGTATGAGAAAGTTATGTATTTTCTAAGCATTAGCATAGTAGTGCACGACCCGAAACTTGAATTTTAGATCGAGCAGTTTTTGGCCTACATGACCTAAATGAGAGTTCAAGATCTCATTAATAGGAAGTCAGTGATAAAAAGACAGACGAAAACGGAGTCTGTATGAAAAAGTTACGAATTGTTCGCGGTCATTTAAAAGTATAATCTCCTCCTACTGTTAAATTTAAGATCGGTCGAGAATTAGCTGACAGAGTCAAAATAAAAGTTATAGATCTTATTTTTACCTACGCGTGAATATAAAGAACGTCAAAAACGGAGATCTTATGTGAAAGTTACGGATTTTAGAAGTCGAAAGTGTGTTGTGCGAAAACGGGTGACGTGACACAATCTTGGCCATTGCTTTTTCCCAAGTGTTGCCACCAAATGATGACACATAGCACCAAGTTCAGCCATATTTCACCCTATAAATAGAACCTCTCCCACCCTCAGTTTCTTCACACATTTCACATTCTTTCTTCCCTCTACACTCTCTCTAAACCTCCCAAAACTCCCCTAGCGCTAGAAGAAAGCCCCGGAGCGCTCGAAGGCTCCAAGAAGAAGAACTTTCAGCTCGGAAGTTCTGCCCCTACAGAGCCCAACTTCTAGCCAAACTCCATCATAGGTAAGATACGCTTACACTATTTTAAATATAGTTTTTATTTAAATATAGTAATGTTATTAGGACCTTATAATAAATATTGGGTTATTATTATGAGTTATATAAGTATCGTTATAATATATTTTTAACTACTCGCGGTACGGGGAACCTGGTTTGAAGGACCGCTTGGGTTGCTGGATTTTAGAAGTGCTATATGCCAAAATGATCCTGCCCTCCGGTGTTCCAAGTCTGGCCCCTGTCCTGTACACAGTGGGTGAAAAGTATTGTGTTAACGTTTATATAATAGTAATAATAGTTAGACTATTAATTAGTCTAGTCGAACATTAGACTAAACCCTAGTGGTAATGATGCTAGGTTTTGTCAAAAGAGTTGTTTAAAGTAAACGAAGTGTCGTCCGAGTGCCGAGTCACCGCCTTTTCAAGTGAGTGCATGGTCCCTTTCATCTTACACATAGATATGAAGTATTTTATATAAACTACGTGTTATGTGTGCATATTATATGTATACTTGCTATCTATGCTATATGAATGATTTTATACAAGTTTTATATGATTTAAAGTGTATATGTATTTATATTTACATAATATTTTAGGTAAAACATGGGTATATGAAATATGAGTTGGATGATGAGTTGAGAGGTGATATAGACCATGCGGTAAGGGTGAGAGGTGGATGATGTGAAAAGTCATGTTCCCACATGCTGGCATGTCACAACTAGGAATTCTAATACATTGCAAACACTTAACAAAGAAAGACATTGTAGCTAAAACGTGTATGGTGTTTATTCAATGACAACAAAATTCCATCAAATACCCTATACAAACTTTCAAATAGTCAACAAAAGTTGGAAACCCTAAAAATCCCGGTTTAAGTCCATGGTCTTCTTCCACAAGCTTGCTAGCCCCAAGCTCTTCTAACTATCTCCAAAACACAAAAACACACTCAAAATCTCAAGGGTGAATCTCTCAATCAGATTAGGGTTTCTGGAGGATAGGGAGGCTGGTAAGGGAGGCCCAAAGGGGGTTTAAGTGGTTTAAATAGGATGCAAAACCCCGAAAATAGGGTTTCCTCCTGGCAGACCTATTCATTGAGTGCGTGCTTAGACTCGTTGAGTAGACTTTTTAAATTCCGCATCCTTTCTAGCATCTACTCGACGAGTTAGGGCTACCAACTCGTCGAGTAGCTCAAAATAAATACTTGAATCATTAAATAATTATGTACCAGGAACGGGGCTTTACACATTTATATGTATTGTGGTATATGGTAACTTGGAGAACTCACTATGCGTAGCGCTTACCTAGTTGTTATAAATGTTTTTCAGGCTGTTCGTTGGTTCGTGAGAAGGTCAAGGTTCGACTGTACACACGCGCATTCACAACATGTTTCCGCTAAATGTAATTATACTATGATATATTAATAAATAAAAATAAAAAATTTGGGTTGAAAATCGAGACGTTACAATTACATTAAAATAAGGTTGAGTGTAATTCAATTTGCAAATGTTTTCTAGACAAAATTATGGAAATTACAACTCCGGCCTGCTAGCTACTAGATTGCGTGCTCTCAGGGGCCTCAAGGCTTCGCCAAAATACCCTAAATACTAAGAAAAGTTGGGCTAATGTGGAGAGAATCGAGAGAGATTGCTTACAGGAGGTGTGGAGGAAGAATGGACAAGAGATCTGAATTTATAAGTTGATTTTAGGGCAGACGCGCCACTCATAGACAGGGCGCCCGCTGTGTTCAAGCTTGGTCGGCAAGGGTACCTCCCGGAAATGGACACGTATCAATCAGCTAATGGAGCGACGTGACAAAACGAGTAGGTGAGGACAAAACTTCAAAAATTCATATCTCGGCTATACGAGCTTTGTTTTTAACGTTCTCTATATTCACGCGCAAGTATTTCTGAGTACTATAATTTTCATTTAGATCCCGTTGGCAAATTCTCATCCGATTTTAAATTTAACAGTCTTCAAAGATTACACTGCTAATGACCGTGTAAAATTCATAACTTTTACATACGGACTCCATTTTCGACTTTCTTTATATCATTGGGCTCCTATTAACAAGATCTTCAACTCTTGTTTAGATTGTCTTGGCTAACAATCAACCAATCTAAAATTCAATTTCTATGTCCGTACTGTTGTGTTGAAACTTCGAAAAATCATAAATTCTTCATATGAAATCAGATTTAGACGTTCTCCATATGCATGCTATTGGTTTTACGATTACTACAACTTTTGTTTAGACTACTCAAACTAATAAAACAACCTATCTAAATTTCACTTTTTACGACGCATGTTGTCGTATAGGGTAGAACGTGAAACTTTAAGCGACCATAACTTCTTCGTTCTAATTTCGATTTGAGTGTTCCGTATACCCCTGGAATCCTCATCACAACTACTTTGATTTTCATCAAGGTCATTCGGCCTAATTATTATTATATTTAAGACACATATTTTATTCTTATTTTATTATATCACTTTAAGGCTTAAGCACATATACTATATATAACTACACATAAAACACATTATACTCAATAATTCTCTTTATTTACTTTATATAAAGGTTACGATTGTTGACTGTTACAAGTATATCATCTTATTAATGCTTAGAGAGAAAACAAAGATGTTACACCTACCCTCACCCCAACTACACCAACACCTAAGCACCCGCCTCAGACCTACACTGGTACAAAGACACATACCAAAAACCCCACCCTAACAACGCCAACACCGACGCCACACCATTCCTATTCGAATACCAATGCCCACCACCACACATACACTTACACACACTCACAAGGTAGCACACATCATTTTGAGCGGATAAATGTTTAATAAATGAAAATTTTATCATTTTAAAAAATTAATAAGTTATAGAAAATCATAAAAATATATTTTGGTTAATACTTTATATTTTATTTGACAGATCTGTAAACCAAACAAAATACAATTTTCATTTCATGTCAAAATAAACACATTATAATTTTGAAAGATTTCATTCATTAACCAAATATCACCTTAAAATCCGGAAACTTTTTACTTTTTCAGGTGAAAAACTTGAACAAATATTCTTGGATAAGGTAGTGTTTCGATCGTTTAATTGGATTTATAATAAGATGCAAAACTCAAAATCCATTTATTACATAAATTGATTTTTGTTATTTCTTTTATAATTTGTTACAATTTTTAGGGGTCTTGGTAGTTAAATAAAATAATAATAAATAATAATAATACAATGGACCCACGAATGAGAAAAAGTTCTTGAAGCCGTGAAAATGTGAAATTTGCTGGGGTTTGGGGGAATCCGGTGAAAGGGACATAAATAAAAGATGGGCTGCGCCAAATTCCGGTGGCGGTAGGTTTGGGTGGGGCAGGGTATGGTTTTGTCCCGTCGGGGTGACGTGTAGCGCCGCCGTGGAAGGTTAAAATGGTAAATGTGACTCAGGTCTACGTGTGGTCCTTTACACGATAGTGAGGTGTTTTTGTGTTTGTATCTCATTTGCATTTATTATGTTTAGTTGATATATACCACCATTTATTATTTTATTTCTCTCAGGTTTCATTTACATCCCTATACTTCCAAGTTTTATCAAAACTGTCAATTCAATTTTAGTTTAGTTTCATACATTGTCATTATAAAATATTTTGAGATTTGTTTATTTGGTCATTGTAAATGATTCCTCTAAATCATTTTCATTTGTAACTTATGACCTTTAAAAATATATATTTATTTTTTAGCAATAACAAGATATGCAAAGCAAACAACTTTTTTGATGCTATCAACAATATATATTACTCGTAGGTTCAAATGCAAAACAAATATAGCTTCCTCTTATTGTTATAATAGTAAAAATATCATTTATTACACAATATTTTTGATGCAAAACAAATGTTTGAACAGTTACTCACAATTTTAAAACCATATTCAAATGGAATTGTGAACCACAACTCATATAAATCATTTACACACATAAATATATACATATTAACATGGAGATTCAAATATATGTTGACATGAGAATGTTAAATGAATTTGTAGCAACTAAAGATAAATTATTTTTATAGGGTCAAATAGATATATAATAATGAAAAACAAAAACAATAAAAATAATATACTCGTGAAACTATAAATGTATGAATAATGCATATTTTTGTTTATATTGTATGTTTTGTTTTCTTTTGAACTATAAAGAATAAAGACATAATTCAAGAAAAGCAAGGGACTTTTTAAGGTAAATCAATTCATTAGGGCATAAAAAGCACACTTGACAAATCAAAAAGGACACAAAGCAAATTCTTTTCAATTATACTTCTCCTTTTCAAGTTCACTCGGTTTCTCGACCATGTGACTACTGTGTCCATCATATGCTCTCTCTCTCTCTCTCTCTCTCTCTCTCTCTCTCTCTCTCATATCAAGACCTTGAAGTTGGTGCTATGAAGAAGATTCCACTCTTCTTCTACTGATAGAATCGGTGGGTATTCTTTCTCCTCCTTTATTCTTCTGGCAAATGGATTCCACTTGATTCTTCGATATTTCATGATGTTTTATTTCAGCTTACTTTATACCTGTGTATATTACCTCTTTGAATTGGTGGTCTAGGGTTTGGTTTTTATGTTGATTTACTGCTTCTAGTGGTTTGATTTAGTCTGTTGTTGATGTCAGTTGCGTTTGGGAGTGTAGATTCTAAATCGGAGTTTGGTTAGTCCGAACCTGAACTGATTTTGCTTGGATTTGAGCTCGATTGTACGTTTCGAAGCTTAGAATCAGAACGGAAGTTCGTTTAGTTGAAAGATGAAACTGATTTTGATTGAATTTCGGCTCGGAGTCACGAAATCGGAGTTCCAAAGAATACTGTAGGCAGTCTTTGAGACGTTAGAGTCGAGATTGGAGTTCGTTTTGATCGAAATTAGAGAATTTCACTTCAATTTGATTCTATTTCACGGAATCGGCTTTCCAAAATGTAGAATTAGGTAGCGTTTAGCAGGTTAGAATCAGATTTAATATCGATTTAGCTCAAAATCAAGCTGATCTACTATTAACCTCTGATTTCCGGAAGGAATTGGAGCGTTGAAACCACCATCATAGACTCACAGTGGGGGAAACAATGAGATCAGTTTGCAAATTTTGTTTAGATTTGCCTCTGAAATCTACTTTCTGGTTGCAGTAGGGTTAATTTTTGCTGGTGGTTGGGCAAGTAGGGCATGTTTAATCAATCAACGCATGTGATACAGTGATAGTTTGTTTTAGATGTTTACCGTGATTGTAAATGAATGCTATTATAAATCTTATTCATCGTATTCCCATCTTTGGCATAAATTGTTTGATGTAACTTTTCTATGAAAAAAGGGAGGATCAATCGTGATATTTATTGTCATGGAAACAAGTCAGGTCATTGTCATTGTCATTCCATTCCAGAAATGGGAGAATCCATGTTTGACTTTTCCACTTCTCAAAGTAGTTACGTATATTCGATTACACTTTAATCACTATCTTGTTGTATGATTATCTTTTCATTTTAAATTCAGAATTAAGAGAAGTGCTTGCTGGTGGGCTCATCTCATCCGCTTCAAATAAGTGATGGTGGTTGAATCATGGTTTCGTGGTCTACTAAAGTCTTCAAGAAAACACGACCATGGTCAAGAAAAGGTCCAGATTGGAGTATTAGCTTTTGAAGTAGCAAGCTTACTATCAAAGCTGGTTCATCAATGGCATTCTCTTAGTGATAAACAAGTTGCAAAATTAAGGGAAGAAATCAATAACTCAGTGGGTATCAAGAAACTTGTATCAGAAAACGATGATTACATAGTAGATTTGATATGTGCAGAAATGCTACATAATTTGGACTGTGTTGCAAGAGTAGTCACACGTCTGGCAAAAAGATGCAATGACCCTCTTTTAAAATGCTTCGAGCGTGCATACGATGATTTAATCAAGTCAGGCGTTGACCAGTACCAGTGGCAGTTGACCTGGAAAAAGATGAACAAGAAAGTCAAAAAGATGGAGAAGTTTATTTTAATCAACGCAAATTTGTATCAAGAAATGGAAACCCTCACAGAGCTTGAACAAATTTTAAGGAGAATGAAGAGCAATGAAGAACAAGATAGCATAACTTTGGTGGAATATATGAAGAAATTAGCATGGAAACAGCAAGAAGTCAAACGACTAAAAGAGTTATCTTTATGGAACAGGAGTCATGACTATGTGGTTGTCCTTCTCGCAAGATCCATCTTCACTATCTTCAATCGAATCGGGTTTGTTTTCGGAATGAACCACGTATTACCTCTGGAATCTGATTCCGATTCCGATTCCGATTTCGTTTCCGATCATATGTATAGAAGTCAATCGGTATCCACATTACTTCAATCTTCCATTCACCCATCCGAGAATCGCATCACTTTAGGAAGCATAATATCAAGATCCGGCCCGATATCAAGAACCAACAATCCAAACAATTTCTATTCCGGTCCACTTGGGAATTCAACCACGGTTTCCGGTCCCATCAAGCGCAAAAACATAACGTATTCTGGTCCTATAAAGTCAACATCAAAATCCGGCCCGCTAGCTCGCATGTCCAAAACCGGAATCAAACTATGGAACGGAAAGAGCCCGACACCACATCGTTTCAGCACCACCGGACCTTTCAAAGGCTGTATGCTCGCCGGAAACGGTTCTCCGGTGAAGCACTGTTATATAAATCCAAACGCCACCTGTTCCACGACCCCACAAACAATCAAAGAATCCGAAATGGAATTCCAATTACCAAACTGTGTCCCCAAACACAAAGTCTTTGAAGCTCCACCAGAAACACTTGGTGCTGCTGCTTTAGCTTTGCATTATGCTAATGTTATTATTGTTCTTGAGAAACTTGTGGCTTCCCCTCATTTGATTGGGCATGATGCGAGAGATGATTTGTATAATATGCTGCCAAAAAATGTTAGGAGTGCTCTTAGAGTGAGGTTAAAACCGTATGCCAAGAGCCTGGCATCGTCGGAATACGATATGGGTCTTGCGGAGGAATGGAATGAGGCGATGTCTGGAACTCTGGAATGGTTGTCTCCGCTTGCACATAACATGATAAGATGGCAATCGGAAAGGAGTTTTGAACACCAGAATCTGCTTTCCAAGACGAATATGCTTCTTGTACAGACTCTTCATTATGCGAATCAGGAAAAGACGGAATTGACGATTACTGAGCTTCTTGTTGGGTTGAATTATATATGGAGGTTTGGGAGAGAAGTGAATGCAAAAGCTATGATGGAATGTGAGAGTGGTGGGTTGATTGATGAGTCTGTTGTGAACTCAGTGAGTTAATTAGCAAGCAGCGTATCAATGATATAAAGGGTGTTTCAAGATGCTCTGTTTCCTCAAGGCAATTGTTGATGACTGAGCGTTGAGGTTTTGGCATGGAATTTGGAACTGATGGATGGATGCCTGATTGTAGATGTATAGCTAATGGTGAAAACGATTTTAATGATGTGGATTTATTACCCTACCCTATAAGAGTTTTCCTTATAAAATATAAAATGTTTCGAGTGAGATTTCAAACTATCAAAGCTTTTTTTTTTTTGTACAAGTTACAAGTTCTTGAATACTGAAAGTAATGAAAAGTCTTTTCAAAAGCTTTTTGGGTTTGAAATCGCTTATTTCATATGGTGAAAGCTTTTTCGTCAACAAACATTTTTTACTTTTTAGTTACAAGCACCGACTGAGTTTTTTCATTGTTTTTCGTATCCTTTTATTCCATTTACTTTAGTTTATTAAATACACAGACTACACATTAAAACTGTCTTCCAACATAAGTTTGACAAAATTGCCATAAGGACCCACTTCCATCGTGTCTCCAAGATCGATCTACGTTACTTCACGAAAAATAACATCCCTCTCAATATCGTCATGTTTCAGGAACCCATTCGGATCATACCTCGTACACGACCATTCTCAAACTAACACTTCACCTCAGAATTCCAATTAAAGAAACAATAGATCAAATAACCATCGTAGTGACTGTACACGTAGCAGTTTTGTGGACACGCTTGGGCTCGACCACCAAATGAACTAGTAATATTAGTGTTAGTGTGGGCTGATTATTCCAAATTACATATGTCCCTTTTGTAATGGTTGATTTTTTTTAATCAAACTTAGTAAATTTTATGATTAGCCTTATTACTAAATTATGTAATACTGTAGTATTTATATTTTTATATACGGGGTAGTGTTGGAAAAAGGCCAAGTTGCAAGGTACTCATGTGACATGTTTCTTACACTTTTTACCTATTTATTTTTCATTTATACTTTAGTTGATATAACTTTTCATTTCTATTACTTTTTGTTGTTATTATTAAACAATTATCAAACTCCTGCCTTTATCTGGGAGTAGGGGTATCAAAATTAATGCAGGGCCCATTCCTCAAAAGGGTGCACTTTTCAGTTTTATAACGTTTTAAAGGTGAGGTTGTTTAGGGATAATAATTTGTATGGGTAACTAACTTTTACAACTTGTATGGGTAACCAAAAGTGAGATTTTTAGTTTTATCGTATATTGGTACTGCATAAATTGATCCAAATATTTTCACCCCATTGTAAGTTAATACACAATTGTAAAAAAAAAAAAAAAAAAAAAAGTATAAGGCTGGAGGGAGTGGTGCCACCGAAACCGCACTCCCTCCTATGCCACGTAGATGTCAACTCAGATTTGTTTTTATTTCATCAACTAGAAACCGTAATGAGGGAGTGGGAAAAAGGTTAGGAGAGAGAAAGAAAAAAGAAAAGAAAGAAGATAATTGGTTGTGAGGAGAGAGAGAGAGTGCAAGTAAATAGGAGAAAAGAGAAAAAGGAGTGCGGCCATGGACTACCGCACTGCGGCCAAAACCGCAGAGAACCGCGGCCTGGGGGCGGTGTGCGCGGCTGAGGTGGCACAAACCGCGGCCCCAAACCGCAGCCACACCCTTTAGCCTAAGTTGTTCTTAAATAAAAAGATGCGGTTTGTCATATCTTTTTTTAAGACACTTGGTATTCATACACCAACTAAATCATCTATGTTAAGTCTATTAAGTCTAAATTAAACATAAACATAAAAAGTTTTAACCAACTACCATTATGTATTTATTAAGTAAATAATACACTTTGTTCAAAATTTGTGTAACTTTCATATGTAGTTACACGAAAAAACAGGTCCATAATCTTTACCCTCAACTTCTCTCTGCCTATTAAATACTAAATTTAACATCAAACAATGTTAAAAATCTTCAACAATTTACAAAACATCTTACCTTACCTTACAAACAATCGGATTCAAAAACATCCTTGGATAAAAAAAAGCAGGAAAACAAACACATTATATTATATGGTTCTATATATACTTAAAGAATACTTACAAACACAACTAAATTAAGCTTCTAGTCCCAAGTCTTCCAAATTCACACTAGACTTCATGCACCTATTGCCATGAAAAAATTATGAGTTTTTCTAATTAAACGATCTGTCTTAATGACTTAAAATTGAAAGGGAAAATTGCAAGGAATAGCAATTGACTACTCTTTTTACAAATATAGGCAACGAACTTATATTTTATACCCATAATACCAACATACTTATATTTCTTTACCCATAATAGCAATGTAATTTATTTTTTACTCATGGGTAAAAAATAAAGTATATTGGTAAAAAGTGTGAAGTAAAAAACAAGGATTTAGAAAATTTCATGAGTGAAAATCATGTCCCATCAGTAGGCAATGCAGCCATGCAAGAATTATAGGAAGACTCCAAGTCAAAATGCAGTTGCCTGGACTGCTGCTCAGTCAACTCATCAGCCGCCCCCATTTTGGCCAACCTCCCAAGCCACTCCTTCATCTTGACCTTCCCTTCAAAATCCGGGGGCAAAATCGACAATTTGTTCAACGACCCCAACAAATCAGAAAGCAAAGGAAAAACTTGACCAACAGCCACCATATTCAACTTCAAAGAATCCATCGCAGTGATAAAATTCTGCACGCATTCCGCCACAAAAGCAGCCGAGGTTCCACCGGAGGCGGTGGTTGCCGCCCTGTGCTCCACCGTGGCGGGGACGCCGGAGGTTATGAGGCGGTTCATGGCAGCAGGGCAGTCCATTTTGTAAGTGTTGTGGAATCTTTCGATATTGGGTACAGTGTCTTTTAGTGTTGATGAAAGTGTTTTGAAATGTGCAATGAGTTTTTGGCATTCGAGTTCGTATTCGGTTGATGGGATTATATCGCGAACGTATGCTTTTTCGAGTTTTTCTGTGGCTTTGATGATCGCATAAAGTTCAGCAAAATTTTCGTACATTTCTCTCTCACGTTTGTCATTCCATAGTTTCACTTCCATCTATGGAAAATGATTAACTGATTTGAAATTAGCATATGAATAAGTGAAAAAGGAACAATGTAACTGAACTTTTTTACTTGAAGGTTACTTAAGCTTAACACTGAGCAAGGTTGAAATATAAGGAACTTAAGTCGGAGGTAATAGACACATAATGCTCAAGATAATGTTAGATAAACCATTTCTAACATTTAAGAATGTTTCACAGCAGCTGATCTAAATATGAAAGCAAAATAAAGTGGAAGCATGTATAGTACAAGGAAATATATGGGTCAAACAAGAATACCAGTGTCCAAATCTGAACAATGAACCTGATAAACAATAGAGACAACTACATGCAGGAAAGAGCAAAAAAAATCCCCAGAAACTAAGATGTAAAGCAGAATGCCTAGAATCCCGAAACATAAATCCGATTGGATGCCAAAAGAGGGTAATGAATATGCAGAATTCTCACGAAAAGGGGTAAAAAAAACTGAACGAAAAAGAAACGTGGATGAGAAAGCATAATCAAGTAAAATCTTCACGAGTATCTTCGTAAACAACTAACATAAGAGATACGAAGCGACTACTGATTCTTAATTCCAAACGGAACCTAAGAAGTTTGCAAAAAGAAAATTGAGATGAATAAGATATCAAGTTCCCGATTAAAAACAGAAGGTGGGATTGAGTGAACGGGCAGAGCAGTTTGAAATTGTCAGCCAAAAGATCACCCCAAATCTTAGATGGAACTAGGGTTACATAGTGGTAAAAAATCATCAGCAAATCACACATGAAACTAGGGTTTAATCATTGATCTTATGCAGTTTTCATCATCGAACGAAGGAAGCTCAAAAATCAATGATGACAGACGGCTTTATACAAATCGAAGGAGAAAGACAGAGATGTTACCTACCTGATTGAAGGGCGGAGAAAGATGAGGCGACTGGCGAACTGGTATTTTCTTAAGAATGTAATTCAGTTCCTTCGACGCACCCTTCTTGTATGATATATCAATGGTGAAACGTAGGCTTTGATGAATGGAATCTAATTTTACAGTTTTGTCACTTCAACTAGTCACGTAACGCAATTCTGAATTCTAATTTTGCCGAAATTCGTCGAGATTTTATAGTTTGTGGGTGACAACGTTTCATTGAACACGGTTGATGGCGTCAATAACTGATATATTTTGGTTGATAGTCTTTTCAGTCATTTGTGATGGGTTAGGATTGGGAATTTTGGGTGAAAGTCAATATATCATTGTAACACCTTCCGGTATACTGAGCACGAGGCGGGTCGATGTAGCCATAAACAATGGCCGTGCACACCATCTTGACCCTCCGTGGTTGCTCGTTGTTGTGAAGGATTGTGGTCACCGCCACATTTGACCACGAACGCTTCCTCTCTGCCTTCTTTCTCCTTCTCTCTCTTGTTTCTCGCTTTGACCACGATATTCCCTCATGCACACCATCCCGGTTGCAAGGGGAAGAGTGGTGGTGGTTACGTGGAGGTGGAAGAAGGTAGTTGTCGTGAAGACCATTACGGATGGCATAAGAGTATACAGATCACAGACATACGACATAAAAGAAGTTAACACAAACATAAGTGTCGATTTCGAAAGAAGGAGATAGTCTAATCTCTAGAGATTTTTAAGTAAAAAGTTTCAAGCGTTTTTATGGTTTAATGGGTTGTCCAAGTCGAAGTTTTGATGAAATATGTTCAAAGTGGTGCGATATGAGGGTAAAATGTTGCGAGTTCGATGGAACTTACAACTTTGTTATAAACAATGTACACGAAAGCGATATCGATCCGGTTAATGTGGTCATGGATCAATATGAAAACACAAACCATAAATCTTTTACACATCTCAAAGCTTGACTAAAGTTGAATTCTCCAAAATGGCAAAACATTGTTTAAAAAATAAGTTTAAGGGTAGTTGTTTGTGTAACACCCTGTTTCCGGTCATTTCTTAATTTGGGGTTGTGGATTGAAATTTGATTATAAAAGGCTTTAGGATTTGAGAAAATAAAGTTGGACCTTATTCAAGGTTGATAATGTTGGTCGTGAGATCTAATCCCTTGATTGTATGTTGGAACTGAAGGGTAAAAGGGGAAAGTTATAGATCAGACTTATTTTATGGATTTTGGTTTTAGTTTGGTATGTGATAAGCCAAAAGTAACTTCATATGATTGTGGGGCTCTTCAATACCTTTCCGTGCATATAAAGAACACCGAAAACAAAGTTGAAACGAAGAAGTTATAGTTGTTTGAAGTTGAGCTGGAAAATGGGAGCCTTGCACTACGCAGGGCGTAGTGGGGGCGTGCTTTTAGTATGTTACGTAGGGTGTAACTACGCATATTAAAAACCCTAATTTCAGGGTTTTGAGCCCCATTTAAGGACTTTAACCCCTTGGGATCCTCCTTATCATCATCCTCCATCCTCTTGATCCTACAACTAAAAACCCTAGCCATCTTATGAGGATTTTGAAGCATTTGAGTGTTCCTTGTGTGTTTTGAGAAGAAGAAGATCATTAAAGGTGTGCTTAGGGAATCTAAAGCTTGTAGATCCAATCTTTACTCTTCTTCAACATCCTCCAGAAGGTATAAAGCTTAACCCTTGATGACTCATTAGATAAATCTAGCTTGTTATGGGTTTTATGAGCTTTTTGTCCCTTGATATCGGGTCTAATGAGTATGAGCTACTCCATACCTCATGAATGGCATTTTCTAGCATTTTAGAGCTTGTAGAGTGATAAAATGGGAACTTGGTCACTCCCATCTTTCCATTCATGAGTAGTTGGGCATTAGAATTTGTTTTGGACTTGAGATTTGGTATTATTCTCTTTTAAGCCATTCAAAGGCATAAAGTTAGGAACTTTATCACTCTAGACGTTTATTAGGACCAGATCTAAGCAATAGATGGTTGGCCTTTATGGATTAATAGCTAAACATGGAAATGACTTATCAGTGAAGTATGCAGGGCGTACTCTCACTACGTATAGTGTACCACTATGCATGGCGTACTTTGAGTATGCATGGCATAAGTCAACTGCTTGTTGATTGTTGACCTTTTGACCAGTTCGACCTATGGTCAAATGTGAGGGGTTGAGGACTAGGGAGGGAAAAATGGTCTTTTGCCCAAATGGAGATTAGCATTGGCTTTTTGGACCCTTAAGTAGAATATTACCTTAGTTGCTAATTTAGGATTGGTTTGTAGATATGTTTTATGGGAGAGACTTTAGCACCAACAGCTCATGTATGAGATCTATCTGTTTACCGATCAAGGTGAGTCTCCTCACTATACTCGTGGGTTGAAGGCACCAATGTCGTTCGATTGGATTAAGTTATGCAGGAAGATCAGGTGGTGGCCCCTGACAGTTGTATGCAAAACTAGGATCTAGACACTAGCAGTTATATGTACGGTGCTAGTTGTCTTTATGATACCTACGTGGAAGACCAGGAGGTGGCTCTTGGCACTTGTTTGTAAGACCTTAGTTTTAGCCCCTAACTTGGAAAGAAAATACCATGATACAAATCATGGCATGATAGTGATTGTAAGTCTATGGTTGGCACGTAGCGTTCTCTTTTTTTGAAAACGATTACAACATTTATTTGAGTTTTCCATACTCATTAGTCTATATAGGATAATCCTAATTATTTATCTCCCTCCCTCAAGTACTCTAAACAAGAAGCTCCAAACTCTCGCCCTCTTGTTGTTTCATCAAGTGCCATAAAATATGCCCTCCCTCTTGCCTTTGGGAGAGCATTCGGCCTTGCAGTTCCCTCCTTCTTCGGGCAGTCTTTCTTGAAGTGTCCTTCTTCACCATACTTGAAGCAAACTTCCTTCTTGGTTGTGCATTCATTAGAATAGTGACCTGTTTTTCCACACTTGTAACAGGTCACTCCTTCAATGTATTCTCCAAAGTGCTTCTTTTTTCACTTTTCACACCACCTCGCCGTGTCACTTCCAGGCTTCTAATCATTAGACTTTGCGGAATTACCCTTCTTATTGGGTCTTGAGGATCCCTCCAACTTCCTCTTTTCTCCAACCTCCGCCTTCTTCAGAGTGGTTGCCATCTTCACTGTTCGACCTAATTCCTCTAGTAATCCGTTAGCAAACCTCTCAATATTGAAGAGTTCAATGGGCACCAAGTAGGGAAATAACTTCATCTTCTCTGTAAATGCAATGACGTACTCAGTGATGCTTAATTTTCCCTATTTCAAGTTCTGCTGGAACTCATTGTTTATCTCCAATATGTCTGTTTCTAAGCAATATTGTCTCTTCAACTGCTCCAAGAAGTTCTCCCACAACATCTTGATAGCCTCTCCTATGGGCATCGTATCAGCTAATAGCTTCCACCAACTCAACACCCCAATCTTTAGTTTCCTTACAACGAAGATCATCTTTTGTCTATCGCTGCAGTCACAACTATCAAATACCAATTCTATCTTAGAGATCCAATCCATAACCTCTACTGGTGTTGGGCTTCCTGAAAGACTCGGTGGTTTGGTATTCATGAAGTCCTTATACTTACAACCGTCCTTTCCACCTCCTCCATTAGGGTGGTTTCTCCCTACTACATGGGGTTCAACATGACTAATAGTTCTACTGTAGTTTCCTTCTTCCAATGGCTCCTCTTCAAGCTCACGATGTACAACCGTTGTAGTAGGCTCTCCCCCATTCTCCCTCATCTCCACTCTTTGCTCAACTAATAGAGCATTAAGCATTTCCACTGTTACAGGTTCAGCTACTGGCACTGCTTTAGGTGCACACTCAACTGCTCGGGGATCAGGATGACAAATCTCGTTATCGTTTCCCAAACCACTACGTGTCCTCACCATGACGTTCTATACACCGAAGCATGCGTTCATTGTATAGTGACGGGAATATAGATAAGGAAGATAGATGTATAAACCTCCTTATTACTTTGAAAAGTTATATGTCAGTTCTAATACCGTAATCAAACGTTTAGAAATCTGAACACATAAAATTTCCAGATCCAGTCGGCAATAGACCATAGATCCGAA